TTTACTATCCGTCCTCAGGCTAACAAATTGTTCTTACATTTGACGTGTACAACTTTTAAACGTTCATCTTACGCAAGCTAATTCAAATTAAACTGCGCGCGCGTAATATTGGTCTTATAAGACTATATTATATATTATATTATATTATATAATATATTATATTATATTATTAATATTCTTAATATTATTATTATATTATATTATATTATATTATTGGTCTTATTAAGACTATATTATTACTTATATTGGTCTTTCTTTCAGCGGAAAGTTATAGAAGGAATTGAGTCTCTTAGGGTAAGTCATAACAAAAAGAAAGTTTTAAACAGTTTTGAATCATTGACGACTTGGAGACCAATATTAAACAAATACTTTATTAAGGAAAACGAGCGCACGCGTGCGCGCACGCAGTTTAATTTGAATTAGCTTGCGTAAGATGAACGTTTAAAAGTTGTACACGCCAAATGTAAGAACAATTTGTTAGCCTGAGGACGGATAGTAAACTATCCGAAACGTAGCTAAAATAAAAGTATTATCAAAAACCTCTTGTGTGATCCTTGATTTAAATTACAGACACAAAGTTATTTAATACGAACAGAGGTGAAAGTTTCAGAAAAACAATTATTTTCTTCTTTACGGAAACATCTCTGTAAATCCAGGTTTCTGTGGTCCAGCATCAAAGAGGGCTTAAGCTATGTTATTGGAATATACAAAAGCTTACCGACACCGAATTCGGAGGCGAGATTTCCCAAGCACTTAATACGAGCGATCAGATACCCGAACAAAAACTGGACATCATGATCTTAACTGTATGTCTTAACTTTGTATGAGTGACGTCCCAGATAAGTATCATGGTATTAGAGGATATAGCTTGCATAAAAAGTTAGACTGGACAAGAAAGGCGGCGATATTCTAATTATGCTAATGACAACACTAGAGCCGAACGTCGACTGACATAGAAGCTGGACATATTGAAATCATGTGGCTTGAGGTTTATCCGCGCATAAGTCTAAGCGCCCCACATTAATATCAGGTGCCTATCGTCCGCCTTCAACGAACAAAGAGTATATACGTAAACTTATGAAAATGTTGATGACGCCTTCCTATTAAATTTAGAAATTATTGTTATGGGAGACATAAATTATGATTTCTTGAATACCAAGCCTATTAAAAACATGAGCTTATTACGACTTTTGGAACTTGTAATCTCAACAAATTGTATGTTGATGACATTACGAGACCAGTTGCCGGTGCGTGTTTGGATCACATTTATGATTTATTCGACTCATTCAGAAAAAAATGTACAGCTGCACAACTATAAATGTTGGATTGTGTGACAACCTTCCAATATTAGCTAGCATGCAGTGAGGCGCCATAAAAGGTCACTCGGAGAGCATTATCTAACATTTGAATGCAGTAAACTTAATTAAAAAAGGGATAAAGAGGTATTAATCAGGGACCTTCAGGCTTCAGTAAGCGATGTCTCTTAGACGCAGCGTAATTTATTTTCGAATTACGTGCACCGCCGCGATATTTTTAATGGTATTGGTAAACATGCACCGGCTACAACAAAGTACAAAATAGTCAACCTACAGTATATAAATGGATTACAGAAGAGTTAAATAAAGAAATTCGAACAAGGGACTATCTTTTGAAAAAAGGTCGGAAATACAAAATCTCCAGAAGCGTGGATGAACTGCAAGGAAACTAAAAATGAAGTTACACGGCTTATATGAAATCAAAAGAAAATCCTCTTTAAAGTCACAGGAAAATGAAAACAAGCTAAATCTGAAGAAATTTTGGTAATTATTAAAAGAATCATCAACATCAATAGCGTAATAACAAAACGACACGAATAACATTGCGAACAAATTTAAATCCTTCTCCGTTGACTTACAGTATGTTCAAACCTGATAAATGAAGACGGCAACATATCTTTTTTTTGGACGGCAAAAGGGATATTTAAAACTCCTTCGAACCTCCCCTGATTATACCACACAAAGTATTGAAAACATTGCAAAAAATGCCTGCGAATAAACTAAGCCGCTGGGGGCGTTAAACTTGGCCCTACAGTATTGAAGATAGCGGCACCAGGTATTGCTAGTGAACTCGCGAGACTAATCAGTCATTGCATTCAGAGGAGAAACTTTCCTATAAGTTGGAAGACAGAGAAAATTACACCAGTTTATAAAAGCAAGGTGAAAAGTCAGACAAACACAACTATCATCCAATATCGATGCTCCCAATTTGATGAAACATATACAGTATAAGGTACATTTACGATTCGTTGTATACTTATCTTTCAGTAAATAACCTATTGTTTGGATTTCAATCTGGCTTTCGTAGAAGCCATTCAACCGAACGTGCATTGATTTGATTGGTAGACCAACTCTTATTTAAACTTGATCTAGACAAGGTGCCTGGCTAGCTGTTATGCGTTGATTATAGCAATCAATCAAGATATTCTGAACTATACTGTATGTTTTGACCTAGTGTCTACCAGCAATAAGGAAACATGCAAACGGCGAAAAAAACGCATGAAATTTGCTTCGAAATAGACAAACACCAGTCTATAGTCCCAGTCGTTGTAAAGCAAGAGCGAGAAAAACGCGGATGTTCTGTAGTACGAGACTGAGACGTATGTGTGACGTCACAGCTTATTGTGCTTCAGAACGCCTAGCAGATTTCAGTATTTTCAATATGGTGAAAAATTTGTATAATATGCAAATAACCTCGCAAATACGACAATATTCGTTGATCATATTTGATGTCTACATAACCAAATTCAGGGACCACTTTTTTGAAATGAGGGGCCAATTACTGAATTCGAAATCTGCTAGGCTCTTTCGCTGAAGCGTTCCGCACAGCACACCCAGGTATAAAATTTATAAGACTTTTTTAAATATATCAAAGCAGCGTACAGGTAGAGAGCCTCATGGGACTACGCTGGATAAACGCGAAATCACAGATTCAAACAGGAAGGAAATGTGAGGTGTATAACGTGATTTTCACGTCCTGATTGATAACGCGTTGCGTTTGCTAAGCTGTCTAATATTTAACTGAGTCCGAATTCCCTATAAAATTATAAAAAAGACAGTATAGTTTATATTATACATACCTTCGGCCAGCAGCTTTTCACGTTTCTGACGAACACCTTCTAGCTATGGAAAATAATGGCATTGTATAATACACAGAGCCTGAACAG